TATCTTCTTTGCATTCTGGACGTAGCTCTGCGACATGCCGATCTTTTTAGCCAAATCACGGCTTGAGACGTTGGGATTTGCTTTAATCATCCGCTTCACCTTTCCCTCCGTCTTTTTGTTCTCCGGTCCCGGTTTTCTTCCAGCTCCTTTGCCGTGGTCCAACGTCAACCGCTCCTGGAACCGCTTCAACACTCTGGAGACGGTTGAATGGTGAATGTTCAACATTTTTCCCAACTGCCGGTGCGACAGGTCAGGAAATTCCAGGTGTTTGGAAAGAATTTGTTCTCTCAACTCACGTTGGTTCACCTCCATTTTCGTTGAATCGAAAAACACGACTTCGAGTTTTACAGCATGTACACAATACACATCAATAAGAAAGTGTGCAAAATTTGGTTGATTTTTACCCAATGGTAAAAAAAGTTATGCCCTGTTGAATGTGTCCCAATAATTTCGTGTTCGCCCTTTAGGCAACATGGCAAACATGGAACATGATATAGGGGAAATTATGATGATGTCAGCGAATCCAAGCACATAAAGCCACACAAGATACAGACAAAACAGTTGCTACGACTACCATGACAAACTCACTCTGTAACATAGCTCGATCGGAGTGGTAGAAGGATAATGATATATTGCTTGCCTGCTTTGTTGCAATATACATGCATGAAGACATAGCTTGATCTGAATCGAGAAAAGATATCTTCGGCTTTACTTCGTGAAGCAGCTTGCCAACAATTTGCTCGTTTCCTTCTACCGCCCCGAGTGAGCTGTGTTTTAAGGGCTGCTTGTCATGCAAAAAAAGGAAAAATATTATATAATTATTGCTTTCCACTTCTGACATATCGTTTTAATTCGGTTCGTTGATAGCATGTAATTTTGTCATTTGGAGATATTTTTGATTCCTTGGATGGTGCGGAAAAGTCCGTTGTGGTTTTTGTATTATTTTCGACACTTTCAATCACTTGAGCAAGCTGCTTCTTCCCGAATATGATGCGTATAAATTTTGTGATTTTATTTGCTGCAGCCAATCGGATTGTCCAGGAAGATGATGAAGATGATGACAAATAATACACCGATGGAAGGACGATCCGTTAGGGACCAAGCCGTAATAAACATTCTAGTAGCTGTGGTTTTCTTCTTCTTTCCTTTATTTAACGTCGGTCTCTGTTCCGCAATCTAGTGCAAATCACCGACGGACATCGATTGCCATACATTGTCGGCAATCGAATGTGCAGGAATGCAGCTTCCACACCTGCGTAGGATATCGCACCCATTCAACACACCAACGGGACCAACGGCTTTACTTTCCTTCCGAAGGGAGACGTGACCAGAGATTTTAATGACTCAGAAAAATCCCACCGACCTTGGCTGGGATTGAACCCAGTCCTATTGGGGTGAGAAAGCAGTCACGCTTACCACTACACCACCGGCGCCGGCTGTAGTTGCGGTCGGAACAGATGTAGCGAATCGGATTCCGCAAACATAAACAGAAAAATGACATGTGATATGTGTGTGTGAGAGCGGGGAGAGCTGATTTTGTTTTGACTGCGTTCTTTTTTAAAATCTTGGATTTTTTTAGTACACCGAAACTAGCGTATTGAAGTTATATCTAAGATTAAAGATAATTTTTCCTACCCAGCCAAAAATCGAACGTTCAGTATGATTATTCTTCACTGGCCAGGGTACTGCAAGGACATTGCATTCTTCTAGACTTTTCTTAAATTTAACTTTTCATCCTAAGGCCGCTAGCACAGCGAATAATAATACATCATACAAATTTAATCTTTTGTCAAATCGGTTTCCCGCATTCATTGTGCTAGCGACCTAAGTGACAGGTAAGCATTATAATTCAGCACTAATCTTGAACTATATTTGCATACAAAACAGAGATTCAATGTTTATAAAGCTATTCAGTGCATCAAAAAACACCTTTTGCTACAGAAGTTTTTGATATTCTACATTAGAAAAAAAAAAAAAATTAATATTAGGCTTAAAAATGGGACTCATATTTTTTTCAAATAATTTAGAATATGGACATCAATATTTTAAGATCCTAGAGACAAACATTTGAAATATCTGGGTATGAAAAAATCTTACATTTTCAAGCTTGGACTGAATTTATGTTTTTTTTAACTTCAACTAAGAGTTAACAGAAGACATAGTGGGTACCTGTACAATAAACATAATATTTCTTTTTCAAATATTACTACTTACGTAAACTTTGAATCCTAAATAGTTACATGCTAAATCATACCAATTTCTTATACATTTTTTTTGATGTCGTCTTTATTTCCGAAGGATAATATCACATTTCCATTTATTTCTCCTACGTACATGATGCAATTGGTTCTTTCTTAGGCTCATATTGTAGCATGATTAGGGTTACTATATAAAAAACTTGAAAAGGAGGGCATTTCATTTGAGGCTTGGAGATTAAGGAGGACAATGATTCCTTTTCTTAACATTAAATGAGGACAATGAGTTTTTATCAAACGTTTTAATAATATGTGCGCTATCACAAAATTCGTGATTTGCAAAGGTTCAATTGAGATTGCTTATAACATGTAGTCGTTACCAATTCAATTCATCTTCTACAAAACTACAGATTTACAGCCTTACCATCCCATCTTTTATCATGTCATCGCTGATTGAAACAAACATGGAACATTTAAGCAACCTGTTAATTTTAACCATTGATTCAGCACAGGACTCTAAGGCTGCTGCCATAGTGGGAGCGAAGAGGCGTGCTTAGCGTTCTATACAAAAGAATTCCTATTATGGATATTATTTCTTTCATTGGATTTCACGTAGTGCCTCCGCTCTCAGTAAGGCAGCGAACTAAAAAAATCAAGCGTTAATTTTTTTTTAAATCTTTATTTGAGAGATTTCAGAAGGCTAATCAAGCGTAACTATTCAAAATGACGTACCTACTTTTGTAAACAATCTTACAATCGACGATTTGTCTTAACTGCTAACTCACCCACGCAAACAAACACCATTGTCAGATAGGGAAATCTTTCCCCTACTAGCTGGTACTAAAACCAGATACGTCGATTTTAATAGTTCTGCTTGAAATACCTAAAATCCCATAGAACCAGAACGTCAAAATCAAACACATGTGCTCCATTTGGTGAATTTTTACTTAAATTTGACAGATAGAAAATTTTCAAATAAACCTACTATTGTACCAGACTTATTCCTGGCAGACTAGGAATCAATTTTGACAACTACCTTTTCGAAAATCACACGATCAACAACAGAGAGATTTTCGAACATTATAACATTAAAATTCACCAAATGAACCGCAGCCTAAATGTAGGGGGGTTGACAGCTGTAGTATATAGATTAGTGACGTTTAACGCACGCACAATAGCGGGTATATCGCCGTGTAAAGTTGTTTATTATTTTCCTCTGGTTAACCTAAAAAATGTATGAAATTAGATGTACACGCTATTTCAAAACTACCCAAATTTAGGTAGAATCCACCCATATCGGTCAAAACTGAACCTACCCAAAAATGGGTAAACTGTGTTTGAAGTGACAAGTTGAAAAATGAAGAACATCGACATGAATTCGATCGACGTTGTTCATTTGTCAACTTATCACTTTAAACACAGTTTACCAATTTTTGGGTAGGTTCAGTTTTAACCGATCTGGGTGGATTCTACCAAAATTTGGGTAGTTTTGAAAAAGCGCGTATCAAAATAAGCTTGACAGCGATTTGTTATGTATTTCCTCGAATTTTCACTAACACGCTCTCACATATCACACCAATACAACCGGATGTGAAATAATCCTAGTCCCACACTCGAATGGCATTTGCTAGATAAGATGAGGTTACGACATAATAGAGCAGTGCACGGTCCCTAACCTCAGTTTTTGGTTCCTATCATTTTGTCTCTGTGTAAAAGAGATGGGAACGAATGGGAGTCAAAACCAACCACTCATAACTGTCAAAATTTACGGGTGAGAGAAGAGTGCAACAAATCTTCGTGCACTGATCTATTAAACATTTTTTTTTTTTTTTTTTCCTTTATTATAGAGATTTTTAGCCTGAGGCTAGTTCATCTCTTGATCTATTAAACAAATAAGCACTGCTAACAACGTTCTTTGAAAACAATTTTATGAATATGTTACTGGAAAAAGTTCAAGGAATAAAAAAGAGGACATTTTCGAGCAAAAGGAGGATGTAGAAATATTATTGAAAAAGGAGGACATGTCCTCCTTTAGGATACCATATGGTAACCCTAAGCATGATAATGTGGCTTCCAAACACACATCATTTAGAATTCGTCTAATACTTAAAATTGGGTGAAACCATGCTTTTCAAAGTTTCCTTATATTAATACCCACTAGTGTAGTATGTGTATCCAAAACAGTGTGCAGTAAAAACCTTGATATGTGTCTTAAACACTAAACTCAAGGACCAAGATGTAGATATAGTTTTCCATTTGGCGAGTCGAGACTACTCCAGCATCAAAATCACTCAATTGATAAAGGTGAAAATTTTCTACTATTGGACATAACCTGCTTGCAATTAGATCGGTCGTTCCGGTCTAAATTGCTTCTTCAATTATTGAGAACTGTCGGGGCCATTAATGCTTCCAAATGTGGCAGGAAAGCACCTAAATTACGAATGTGCTCGGTGTACATCCGCCCGGGCTAGATAGGCAGATGTGTATATGTATAAGCAAAACAGTTGCAAATTGCATCAAATGTGAGTTCAACACCTGTGTCCTCGGGTGCTGTGCAGCCAGCCAGGTTCACCATAGGGGTGGTCTGAATTTGTTTTTGCAGATTCTGGTTTGTATGCGAGTAGGTTGCCGATTGTTGCTCCACTTTTAAATATCATTCGTTTTTGAAAACAATACAATAACATGCAATAATTTATTTAACCTATGATCTTTAAGCCAACCGTACTTTTCGGACCACCTCCAGTGTTCAAGGATGTGCTAGGTCATGTTCTGCATTTTACAATAGAAAAGAGGAATCCTGCTTACCTTGAGCAAATCGTTTGGCACCCGCATCAGAAGCAATTTTGGCAGTCGTAGTATAAAGAACTTCCTGACCCACGGTGCCATCTTGTGTGTACTCGGTTTGCGATAGTGTATGTTCAGTATAATAATGGTGATCACGACGCTGAAACCGACCAGTATCATAGTGAACAGCAGGTACTTGCCGAGCAGGGGCAGTGCCAGCGAGGTAGAAGGAATGATTTCCGATATCAGAAGGAAGAACATGGTCTGCGACAACAGAATGCTGATGCACAATGCAATTTTTTCGCCGGAATCAGCTGGCAAATAGAATACCAACACAGAAAGGTATGAGATGCCGACACACGGTATTATCAAATTGACTGTGTAGAACAGTGTTTTTCGTCTTAATGTGATGTTGAAGAAAATATCTGCAACGAGAAGGAATGAGTAGAAAAGCATTAGTGCTGTGAGTGCAAGCAGGCGAAAAAAGCAAGACACGTGAAATTGATGCAGTGGAAGAATGCGTCCCTTGTGATTTTGTACCTTTTTTTTTTGCTCTCATAGATATGTTTGTCGGATACCTCGGCCAGCAAAGAACATGGCAAATGCTACACGTTCGAAGGAATTCGATTACTTACCGGGATATGGCTCCGCACAGCAAGGATAGTATTTTTCGTGACGTTCTGCTGGTACTCCCAAGATGTCCCACTCCACACTCGGGTAGTACTCACGTAAGTCGATTCCAATCTTTACCATATTGTCGGAGTTGTTAAGTTGATTTTTATGCTTCAGATCGATCTGGTGGAAAAGCAAAATAGGGAAAAAAGAAAATCTCTCAATGCACTGATTCAAGCGAGAAAGCATGAAGAATTGTAAAACGTAGACAGCTATCCCGTTGTTGTTGTTGTTGTTGATGTCCGGAAGCTGTGTTATGAATCTTTCATGGCTGGTACGAGAAATACATCGTATGAAACCACAATTGACACATGCTGACATACGAGCGTTAGAAAATTGAACGAAATTCTGCGGACAAGTTGGGTTGATCCCATCGCACTCATCGTCATCGAATAACAAGCTTGTGGAATTGACAGTATGTTGAAGCAAGGAAATATGCGGTTTGTCAAGAGATTGACACATTTTGCCAAATTGTGGTTGAAGCTCGAATTCGAGATCATCATTCGGTTTTGTGGCAAACCAATTCTATATCCGCTCACGGAAATGGCAAGATCTGGCTTACGTAGAATGTCCAATCGTCTCTTTCGTGGGACTGGTTAAAGTATATTTTACCTATACATACTGATAATTTAAAGTCAATTTTTAAAATAACCATCAAAATTGTATATTTTATTATTTATTCTTCATCTTTGGCATTAGAATCACACTAATAAGACTTAATTATATGCAACATCGTTGGGGACCATCCTTAAATGACGTTGCATATTTTTGACCAATTTTAGACCCTCTACCTCTCCCCTTATAGCATATTTTACTATACCTAATACCATACATGGCCTTTCACAACTTCTGAATCCCCCGTCATTCATGGATGTTCCCTTGAATAGTCTGCAACATTTGTTGATTGGACTGTTATAGCCATAAACAGTGTGGTGCCCGGGAGTCCATCGGAAGTACGAATTGTGGAGATGGCGAGTTGGAGCGTGGAAATTGATGTCCCGAAGCACACTACTGCAGTCAATGTGATTACTAATCATGTCAAAAATAAATAGTCGTTGCTCGATATTTCAGTTCAATCAGCGCACGTCTGTGTTCGTACGGAGGTAGGTTATTGGGATTGGGTCGATCCATGCCATACGTTTTGGAATTTTCCGATGCACGATACTTGCATGGATGGGCATTAGACCAGTTCATTTTAACAGAAATGTTCGGGATGCACCGGGTGATGATTTAGAGGAGCTTCAAGTTAATTTTATGTGTTTATGGTAATTTACGCCTTATACGGTCTACTGAGGATTCATATTTCGAAAAAAAAAAAAAAATCATGTATCAATGAAACGATCATCGGTCGTCATTGAAAAGCAATGCAACTATGTTCTATCAATCTTATTGAATCTTTTATTGGTTCTGCTGTCTTGTGAATTTTAGCTATAACGACCTCTTTGCTGATTTTTATCTCTCAATCTATGGAATCTACACAAAAACTGTATTTAAACGAAATTTCTAGAAAATTTTACATTACACATTTTTATATCATAATGGGTGGAAAGTTCGTAGAACAAATACTTTAAAATTCTTCACTTTTTAAGATATCTTTCAGCATGAAACTAAGTCAAACTTCAATAAAAACACTTTGAATAGTCAACCTTTGGTCACAAAGTTGGTAGATAATATGTTAGGCTTTGTTATGAAAGATGTTACAGCAGTTTTCGTTGTTTCAGTCTCTAGATACAAATATTATAAGCCGTAAATTACCTTAAAACATAAAATTAACTTGAAGCACCTCTAAATTATCACCGATTTTGCTGAAAATTTGCACAGAAGCTCAAATTAACATGACGAACAGTAATCACGGTGCATCCCGAACATTTCTGTTAGAATGAACAGGTCTAATGGACATGGATTTTCAGCCCACTGTATAGTGTCCAAGCGATTGTAAATCATGTTCACACACAACTGAACAGCAGGATAACAGCTGTATACAAGCGAAAATTGATATGCATTAAGAGCTTGTCCCAACCTTTGCTTGTAAAGAGGTTGAGTAAAGGTTTCCTCATATCGTACTATACAACATTTGAATACAGCTTGAGGCTGTATAAATGAGATGAGTAAAGCGTTAACATTACGAAAATTGATAATTGGGTGCGTCTTTGGAGACTATACTGGGGTGCTATTGAAAAAATATGTGATGAAATAGTGTTTTAGATTCAATTTTAATTACGCAATTTGATTCAGATTGGATGTAAGATTCGAGAGAACAGAGAGACGAACCGATTGCACCTGGTTAAAAAAACGTGCCAGTATGTTTTGCGTAAGTTCGTTTGTGGATGTAACGGGGGACACTCGACATACCGGTAGACGCTATTGAAGGTCGATTTGAATTAATCGTTCCTATATCGAAATTCCCACCAAATTAAGGATTCCAGCATAGATGTCAGGTGGACAAGGTCTATTCAATGGAGAACAGTTTAGTTGAGCGTCACAAGATGATTAATATCTCCATTAAGTAGAAGATTGTGGTCTTTGGCAAATTGGCACAGATGGAAAAGTCGTCGGTTTCATGCAATATTGGCACAAATCAAAAGATACCATTTTCCCGTTTAAACGGAAAACAGCTTACAAAATTTAAACGCCTTACACACTTAGATTGTACTGCCGAGATTGGCACCTTTGGTTGGTCAAAATTGAATCTTACTCAGAGAATGAGAATGAATTTACTATGGAGACATTTTTAAAAGCGCAGATTACTCATGCCGTGTGCGACCTACGCTTTTAAAAATTTCTCCATACTAATGACTACACTGAAAATATTAATTCATTAATTTTTCCACGCTTATTTCGTAGAAGCGGGTTTCGTACATAAAACATCTTTTTCGTTAATTGTACGAAATATTCGTATTGCATGTTGTTAGTTACAACGCCAACATTACGCATAATTCGTAAAATACAAGAACCGAATTTCGTATTGACGTAAGCCTTGCCTACGAAAATCATTCGAAACTTTTCGTAATCCTACGAAAAACATTCGTGCACTATCTGTCATAGCTACGTTATTCGTAAATATTGCGAAATCATTCGTTGTTGTGTTGCATGAATTTGTTTTTAGTATTAATGTTTATATACAACAATGGCCATGGCAAACAAATTTATTTGTGAGATTGTGTTATTTGTGGCGAAAAGTTTTCGTGATTCATTCGGTACTATTATGTCGGACGGTAATGGTGGACTTTGATGGCTCGATCTCCGGTTTGACGAGGATCTGCAGTTTCTGACGACGAAAAAAAAAGCGCATCTCCAACAATGTAATAAGCATCATGGAAAAGTACAAGTGGAATTTTTCAAACGGAGAATCCCGTCACAAGAGCTGGCCGTTACCCGGCATCAGTAATCTAGATGCCGTGAGTGATTTATCATAGTTTTAACATTTATATTGCAACTAATCGCCTTCTACATACCCTATCTCATCCACAGCCTGAAGATCTTTCCTTAGACGGAAAAGCGGTCGATTCGGTTCGTGTGGTTTGGCATGTATATTGCGCTGGTTCAGCTTGTAAAGGTCAGTCAATACTGCCCGTATCGCAACCTGGACTGCATCCTTTTCGTGACTACATGACACCCTACACAGCTAAAAAAAGTAGTGTAAATTTCCGTTACTATGATGCACATAAATGGAGCGTCATAAATCATACAAATTTACATTATAAATCGTATAAATGTATGAGACATGTCATGTAATATTCCATATATTGTATGCAACTTTCCACCTTTGTTTGCAACATTTCTTGCAAGCTGCTAGTTTACGTGAAAAGGAAGTTTACATGCATGAATGTTTGCATGCATGGATGTTTACATCACCAGTAAAATTCAGATTTTTTTAGTGTGTAGGCCACACCATCGATATAATCAGGTTGGTATATTTTGACGTTGGACTACGTCAATAATTTTATCACCAATCGATCAGAAATATGGCTACGCATCGATAACAATGCTTCCAAATGTTGATTTTCAACAAGAAACTATTGAAGAACTGGTAAATGTCCAGCATTGTCCAAAAGCGTCGAATTAACTAACAAATCTACCAATTACCTACATGCATATGCTGGTTCCCCAGCACAGTCGTCATAGAGTAGTAAATAGACGAAACAAGTCGAAGTGGCATTCGCCTTCGATCCTCGGGCGCGTGCGAATAGGGAGGATGGAATTGCGTAATATTTTGCACACTCATCGCCATAATCAGAACCAAACGCAAATTCTTCGAGATAACCACCATCCGTCGTCTGGCTCGCCGTGGCGGTGTCTGACGTATCTCCGGTCTGGTTTACGAGGTGTGTTGAAGGTGTTCCTGAAAAATGAGATCCGTGATGCTGTCACCTATACTAAACACGCCAAGCGTAAGCGGCCATGGATGTCATCTACGTTTTGAAGTGACAGAGACGCACTCTGTTTGGTTTCGGAGGTTAAATCATCACCAACTTTGGCAACAAAACGGCTCTTGTCAGGGCCACCAAGATTATTACAGTAAAGAGTAGGAATAGAATTCATCTGCCTGTTTGTCCATATTCAGAACCAACGACCACACAAAATGCTCATGTAATCAAACTGGAAGCAGGGGTACAAATTATTTTGATCAACATTGAATCGCCACGGCCGCATATTTTCGATGGAAGAAGCAACAATCTAGCATCTAATTCGACGAAGACGGCAGGAAACATTTGTGAAGCCGAGTTATTTACAAAAGAGAGAATCGATCAATGTAGATAGGACCTATTGAAAAGTGACGCGAGATTTGTATTCAGTACTGAGCTCCAATGCTACCGACGCCAGGGAGGCAGCTCCCACACCTGGACCCTACCAATCGACCCATCAACTCAACCGGGGACCAACGGCTTTACTTCCCGAAGGAAGGCGTGATCAGAGATGTTATGCCTTAGAACATGCCGGTGGCGTCGACTGAGATTGGACCCAGGCCTGCTGGGGTGAGAGGTAATCACGCTAACAACCGGCACCGATATCTTTCAAGGTGATATCACGGCGAATGAGATCGACCCAAATTTGAGTTAAGTTATCTCAGAAATAAGAAATAAAGTGCAGGAACTCAGTGATGAGTAAATTTGCCTCATGTTTTCCCAGGTTTTTCCAGGATTTTTCAGGGAAAAATTCCCGAATTTGAGAAAAGTAAAGATTGGATTCACTCAGTCTATTGGTACTACTCCGAGACTGAATAAAATTTTCGTCAATTTCCTCATTTTCTGGCAGATTTTTTAGGTTTTCCATAGGAAACCATAAGACAAATTTACTCATCGCTGAGTTCCTGCACTTTTGGCGATCATTCGCCGTGTACGCAAAAGGAAAAGAGCCAGTGTCGCTACTTGATAGCAAACTACTTATAATGGGAGGAGTCAAATCCCCTGCTGTATAAACATAGTTTCAACAGTAACGCCAAGTATGATCAGCTTGGAAACATCGTGCCATCGTTCAGCTGTGTTGACAATAAAAGATCGAGCACATCATGCGGGGTAAGCTCCGTATTATTCCTATCAAGAAATTTTCTTTTCCAAAATCCAAACTTCGGAAATAGATTCCACTTGATGGCGAACGATTATTCGCAAGCAAATCAGCGACTGAGCTCATCGCTCCATTCCGCTTGGATGGAGGACAATTTATCCCGTTCACCTCCAACGCTTGCATACGTTTAGGTCAGAATTTATATTCAATTTGGTGGATGTCGTAAATTTTTATGTTCCGTTTCATCTTTCTTTTATTTGTTTTACATAGTAGATTCCGAGGTTGTCTGCCGTCTTTGGCTCTAGTTTGAATATATGGGCGAACGGAAAATACTTCTCACTCCAACCTTCAACATCTCGAAAATGGCTTTTGGAAAGCGAACAGCTTCCTGGGAATGCTGAGCTTCTTGAAGAGAGGTGTGTAGTTTTTTCTAGCTGGGCAACATTGAAAAGGATTTTTCACTCTAAAAAAAAATGTTACAATGATATATGACTGGGACAGAAATATTCTTCGTCTATCACACTCCCGTCCGGACCGTGCACTGCCATTTTTCATCCTTTCTTGGGAGTTGAACATGTTTCTGGGTGTGCACACACTCTTTATGGTATGCAATTATGCGTCTCACGATTTTTATCGTGATATTTTACCCTAAGGCGAACATTGCTTCTTGTTGCAGTGCGGTAGGTTGAAGGTTCGAAGATCTTCTTTGAAAAATTACGAATGAATATATCAGCAGTAGATTTACTTGTGATATGAGGCAGACTGATTTTCCTTTTTGAATATTTCGTAGAGTATTTTTATGCAATGCATTACCATGTTTTCATTTTTTTAAATTGATTTTGAAGAGGAAATACAGATGCAGGTATTTTGGATACCATTGTAGTTTTGAATTGTTTATGAGATACGTCATGCTGAACTGCTGCATTTTGTATGATAAATCAGTTGACTCACTATTCTTTTTTGGTCACCGACTGTACCTTACACTGATATGCGAAAAAAATCAGTTATCCATGTATCTCGAAATAAGAATATGTAATATCCATCGTACGTATGTTGCTTATCATAAAATTAGACGGAAGGTTTCTCCCCATGAACTTTCTGTACTGAAAAACGTTGGCGCTGGGACCTGTTCTCATGGGCACACCTGTCATGTACATCGGAATGTATAGCGGTTGTCTTTTCCGGAATACAAATTCATTCTCACAGTAAATTGCATTACCTACTATCATGCATAGAAATATGAAATTATGAAAATTATCTTTCTCAGTATAGAAATGTTAGTCGTTGGTATCTAGCTCATTTTTGTGGGAGAGGATAGAATCTTGCTTACGTTAAACAACGAGAAGAATCACATTTGTTGCTTATCTATATGTTGTATCTGTGTATAGCTTTGCTCCTTTGTTTGTTATTCATTCTACTATATAAGTGTAGGGTAGGTGTTCAAGTAATAGTGGTGTACCTATATTTGGGATATGGGGATTGTGCCGGAATAGTGAGAGCAAATCGGACAAGGATATTTTTCATAGAACAAAAATTAAAATCAATTAAAAAGAAAATCATTAAAATATAAATCTAATGTCGTTCCATCATTGAAGAGCTGAAAAAGGCTTAAATAATTAAAAACTTAAGATTCAGCTTGAATGAAGAATGAAAAATATTAACCAATCCAAAATAAATCTGACGATGTTCCTTGATCGAAGAAATTTATAATAAACTTAAATAATTTAAAATAATAGATCCAGCTTCAGATCCAACGATGGTTGAAAAAAATGCATCAAAATATTATAAATCAATATCATCGAAAATCTGAAATTAAACTTAATAAAGTAGCTTAACCTAACCTGAAATAATTTAAATCAATATATTCAGCCTGTAGGAGGCTGAAAAAGACAATTTAAAGATATTCCTTGCTGTTAATTCTAAAGCTGCACGAGCATTCGAATCTTCCATATCGTTTTCATTATCACCTAGCCAGCAGCCTCATCACCAATCCCTAACACATACTCCCATAATTGAACGTGTTTTCTTATATGTTTGCAAACACACCACCTCTGCGTGCTGCACAATTATGTATGATAAATTTCTCTTCCATATCATTTCATTTTTCTTGACTGGCATATTGATTTCCGGTCTCTACACATCATCCTGATTTCAAAAATACCCATGTTGTGGGGTATTTGACATAAATTTTCATGTTTTTGTTTTCGTATATATATGGCAAAATATATGCTATACCTTTGTATCGAAATAAATCTAGTGAAGAAAGAAAAATAAATAAATTTAAGATAGAGATATGCATAGATTTATAAACATGTATGCCTTATTATTTTCCGAAGCATTAAAATAATTTCTCTAAACTTTTTCATCGATAAATGGTGCTGCCAACTGATGGCGATGAATCGATTATTTCAGCGCAGTCAACATTTAATAAAAATCACTGCGCATCACCCAGAATCAAACTAGAGAGGTCTATTTGATTGCAAACACTTTTTTTAATGAAGCATTCTACTGGTACATTTATAGAACAAAAAAAAAATAATAATTTGGATATCACATCAAAGTGGATGCACTTCAATCGTGTTAAAATTTGATGTAATAGGGGAAATGGCTCTAATGTTGGCCTATGGATCTAAGATTGGGCCCATCGCTGAAAATCTGCTATTCATCAATTTTATCTAGATGAACGCGTCATTGGGACGGTACTAATGGATATTTTTGGTCGCTATTGAAAATTTAGTCGATTACTGAATTTATGTATGGGCCCAAATAAGGAGCATTTAGGCCGAAATTACATCCATTTCCCCTATTACTTGCCAAAAAGGACAAACTTATCATTAATACAGTGCATAAACTGACATTACGCTGCTTTTACTGCATTTGTTTATTTTTGTGGCCATAAAAATTACATGATATTTTCGACATGATTGAAGTGCATCCTCTTGGACGTAATATTAAAAAAATAAATTGATGTTATACCATAATTAACCACGGATGACTATGATCCTTGACACTTTTAAAAAGCTTTATTTAACGCCGTATAATATAATTCAAAAACCTATAATTTGCATATTCTTAACACAAGAATACCTGCTTCCCATTTTTGTCAAACTTTTTGCTGAATCAAACCATTTTATACTTTCCTCACCTTCGGATTCCTCTGGGAAAGCACATCGTTAAAGGTTTTTATCGTTGCTGACCGGTCTCTTCCGTCGATGGGCAATAAAGCAATGTGGTTTTCCGTATTTGACTCTTTTTTATTGCGTTATCATCAGTTTAGTCCCGTTTGATAATCGACCTTTCACAGATTGTGTGAATGTGCATATGTACATGCTTCTTTAGAGACTTATTGAAATTTGTACATTTCGGAGATTGTGACGGGCTGCCACTTTTCTCTACGTACATGTTTCACTGTTTCGATAATTTTAGCTGCTGAAGCTAAAATGACGATAAACTGAACTGCCAGTGAAAAATGGAATCCCCTTAACGATATTCACCAGAGAGCATAAGGGCTATCATATCCGCTATAAAATGTTGATAAGAGTGCATATTTAGCAGACGGTTACTTATGTGTACATTTTTTCTCCTCCAGTCTGCAGCAGTCAAGCTTATAGGACGGCAGTCTCCTATCGTCCAGTCGTTCAGGCAAAGTGCGGAAAAGTGAGGTTAGATTGTTGATTAACAAGAACAGGACAGGTCTGCCATGTGTCGCAGGCGATTGTTGATTATTCTGGCCAGTTTATTGCTTTTGCTGACAGTCGTAAAGCGATGCGAAGCCATCGTCGGCGGAACACGGTCGGCGCCACCCCCGGTTGATGATCCGGTAGTATTTGTGCGTTATGTAGGGAGATCCGCTCGAGTCGAGGGTACACGGAGCCGACAGACTGGTTTGTATTCCTTTCGAGGCATACGCTATGCGGAGGCGCCCACCGGAGAATACCGGTTCCAAAGACCGACTTTTAAAAGATTGAGTGGCGACGTGAATGCGATCAATAATGGTCCACCATGTCCTCAGCCAGAGCCTAATAACCCTTACAAAGTAATTGGGAATGAAGATTGTCTGCTGCTCAACATTTTTACTCCCCAGATGCCAGATGAAACGACTGGTTTACCGGTTGTAGTGTGGATTCACGGAGGAGGATATCGCTATGGTTCAGCCGCCCAGTATGGTGGAGAGCCATTAACTCAGAATGGAGTTATATTTGTTCCAATTCAATACCGTTTAGGATCATTCGGTGTAATAGGCGATGGTAGTCGGGATTTTTCTGGAAACATTGCTTTGTTGGACATGGCATCAGCGGTACGCTGGGTTAAAGATTATATTTCATGGTTTGGAGGAGATCCCAATCAGATCAAAGTCATTGGTCATGGATCAGGAGCGACGGCTGCCATGGTTTTGACGTCCGCCACGATGGCTCGTAGTTCGATTTCCGGAGTTGTTGCCATGTCGGGTTCTTCATTGCAGCCAAATTCGTACGATTCTGAACCTGTTACAACGTTAAATGAAATAGTATCGAAACATGATTGCTCTACCAGCAACGAAACAGAGATTGTAAAGTGCATGAGAGAAAAAACTGTTGAAGATATCATCAAAGTTGATAGCGAGCTGCAAGTGAGTCGGTTGAGTGGACAAAGAGCAGTAAAAGCTTTAACAGGAAACGTTGGTGTTAGTCCAGTTGTAGAGCAGAAAGATGACGGTCGTGGATTGTTTGGAATGTTGACTGAGAAACCTGAGGTGTCCATCACGGAAGGAAACTTTCCAAAAATTCCTCTACTTATAGGCGTAACCAAGGATGAGACTGCCAATGGTATTGATTTAAAAGAAATACAAGCTACGTTTTCATCTGCATCCAATTTTCTCAAAAGTACAAGCAAAATGGTTGGCCTAGGCGAATTCCTCAATTTAAATAAATCAGTGGCTCTCTTGGATTCCCTTGGCACTGTTTTGGATTTATCCAGTTACTTGGAAATACCTCAGACCTGGAATATGGCGCAAGTGTTTGGAAAGTTAGTCGAAGCTACCACAGACGCTGTATTCAACCTACCGGCTATAGTAACGGCCCAGTCGTGGAGTAAATCGTCGAAGTCATTTTTCTACAGTTTCGAGCATCGATCCGATAGTACAAAGGGTAGCGATTTTCTTGCTGGTCTTCCACTGGTATCGAAAACGAACTCAGAAAACCAAAAAACTGCCATTGCTCATGGTGATGAGCTTGGTATCCTCTTTGATACTCATGACATTTACGGAAATTTTATCCAGAAAGCGGCGGTAAAGTCAAAACGCGACATCAATGCGAGACAGGCTTTTGCTACTTTCATTGCCAAATTTGCTCATATGAATGCGAGCAATCCGAGAGACGACAGTTTATTCAAACCGTTTACGAGCAAAGGGACGCCTTATATCAAAATTGGAGAGCAAATCACCACAGACAACGACTTTAGGTAAGTGTCGTATCGAGTGTAGATAAGGCAAGCAAAAGTGATGTTTTTTTTATTGTGTTTGTTACAGATTCTGTCAACTATCTATCTGGGGAGCCCAATTGGAAGCTTTGAAATCGATTTCGTGTAAGTTCTTGGGCGATGGCCTGGGTAGCATTGGAAAGACTGTGGATAAACTTACTGGACTCATCACCGGTCAGCGTCCTGTGGTACCGAATAAAGTTTTTGGAATATTTTAATGATAAAATGTCTTGTAATGTATAATTTGCTTTGATTAAACTGATAAGATTCTGATTTTTATAAACTTAAATCCACATGGTTGGCAGGATGATACTTGAACAAACATACTCAAGTAGATAAAGAAAGAGCGTTGAATTGATAGTATTCGCTCGCCTATCCATAGGATATTGCACCAGTTCGTATGTAAGTCAAGACCTCTACCCAAAATCCAAAATTTATACTTTCTTCCGATCGGAATCGGAAGCGAAGACGATGAAATTTGCCGATAACTGAAGCATAAATAATGTCCTAGTACAAAATAAAACGTTTCTGCAATTGGCTCTGTAGGACGACGAAGACGCTGTGTGTTCGTATTTCGCTACTATCTACTATACTTGTGATATTCTGCTCTGTTTTCTTCTTTCGTTTATATTCAATTATTTTCCATCCTACTTCCAACGCCGATAAGCATACTAGCGTGCGAGATGCCATCTCCGCTACTCTCTACTGTTGGATATACTACCGACCGATGGGGCCGCTTTGGCCGGGAAGCACACCAGCCGAGCCACTTCCCAGGCATCCAATGATGGCAAGTTGGTCGGCCGGTTTCATCTCGGTTTCCCTGGCTTTCCGCAATACCCACCACGTTCGTTGTGTGTAGTAAATAAAAGAAGAGCTCCAACCAAGGCTTATGGTTGACGATGGTATTAGATAACGAGATAACAGCAACCTTGCCGGAGTCTGCGGTGAGGGGATGAATAAAAGTGCCACCCGGAATTATGCTGGATGAAGGATCCTTTCCTGCACCGTCAGGAGCGTGCTTGAAAATGAATGCTATTGGATAAGGGAACGGAATCTGTTTATGTTTGCGTCTTCGACTGTGCGACTTATCTTAGAGAAAAATGATTGAATTTAGTGTGATACCTTTCGCATGCATATTTTTGCGTTTTTCGGAACAAATCCTTGTTTTGGTGCACTTTATTAAAGCATTTGCTTTTCATTCAGTACCGTAGGGCTTTTATTTTTAAAATATTAACCAACAAACCCTATGAATGTCTTATTTTGCAATATAATATTGAAATAGGGCTTCCGAACTTAATATTAATAACAAATCATCCTTACATCGTAAAAAGGGTAATTAGTGGGCTTTTTGGTTACTTGGGACTGATGTTCAGCGACCGTCCAGAGGTCGTGAGCTCAATCCCAGACCCGTGTACTAGTAAACATATATTTTTCAACATTCTATGATACCAAAATAGAAGCCAATATAGTCAGTATAGAAATGGGGATTTTTGTTTCATCATCGTACAGGTTTAAATTTTGTTACGAAAATGATGATAAAATAAAATGAAAATGTGGTGACCAGGAAATTTTAAGATAAGCTTTTTTGATTTTATCGTTTCCAGAGATGAACAAGCTTACGGCTGAAAATCATCCTAAAAATTAAAAATCACTCAATGATATTTCCGAACATCTCTGACTTTAAAATCCAATACTTATGATCCTTGAAACAAAACTGTCATGTAAAGAACTTAGTAAAATTTATGAGATCTAGGATTTGAAAATTTGATAAGAAATCAGATTCTTTTGTTTTTATCTGTATTTTTAGAAGATTTTCCCATGTCACATGAGGAGTTCTTTGATATCATTTCGAAATTTGTGAGTTCAGCTTTCAAACGATTCGGACAAGTTTCATTCGGGCAAATGTTATAGAATGCAGGGTTATCCAAAGCACGTAGGGAATGAATTATTTGAAAAAATTGTTTGCAACTTGTAGTTAAATTAGCTATAGAATAAATTTTGAAATAGTCGAAGCTGCTTTTGTAAAAAAAAAACTAAAGAAAAATTATTTGAACTGCTAAGTAGCTCGCCCACGCCAACCAACGTAGCCGAATTTCCCCAAACTTGAGGTTGAGTGCAGGTAGTTCATTTAGTGTTGAAAGGCTGTAGCAATAGGCAATGTTCCTATTTCCACGATGTTTACACCCTAAATCAACTTCAAACTACGCAACATTACGTTCTACACTACAACCAGATTATAAAATGAAGTTGTTTTGAGAATGGCACCTCTCACCGGTAGGTGAATTAATCAGGGATTTTTTTTGCTATATATCCGGACCCAAACGTCCGATCGGGATAATATTCAAAAAGAATCTATGGGAGTCAAATACAAATAAAATGGAATTGGTTGCACTCAAATTGGATCAAACATAGCAGAGAAAGTTCATCCCACTGCGACCTAGCAAGAAGTACAGTCGACTTGTTTCGCGCTCCGGTATTTCGGAAGTTTTCTCGGTATTCGGTTGGTTTAAATTATCAGTTTTTTCTCGCTTAGTGATTACTGGCATAGTACCCGGCTAAACAATTATCTGAAAGTGAGTTTTTTTCTGAGAAGAAAGTGTGTTTTCGGCATCATCGGAAGGAAAATTGTTTTTGCGATTGCCAATTCGCCAACCATTTTGCCATCGGTGCGTGATCACGCATACCTGCACACAGAACATCATCATCGAGTGTCAGCATCTGCCTCCGGTCATCCATCATCGTGTGTCCAGCTGAGTGCCGAGCCTCATACAACTACACACCACTACAAAGATCGCCCGCACACACGCATCGAAGGTCACCCACGCTGTGCGTCGCTCCGCTGCTGCTGTGTAATCACTCGGTGGTAGTAGTATAGCAGATAAGTTTTTTTTTCCTGTTTCTTTCTCTCGCCCATCAGTTAAATTTAATTTTGTGTTTCTGTGTTTGTAGTTTTTTTTCTGTTTATTGTGTCTGTGTGGTTTTAAGCATCGTTTCAGTGGTAGAGCGTTTACCGCTCCCACTAGTACGGCAAAATGGACGTCTCGTCAGAAGACGATATGGACATTTTGTCGGAAGATGACACCAGTTTGCCACTCGATGGCAAGAAAAGACGAAAACGTCCTGTCATTCATGGTTCGTCTCAGAAAAGCCCCCGATCACGAGCCTATCCAGATGACTCGACTGGGCCATGGGTTGTCTACTTTCAGCCCAAAAACAAACCTTTGAACTTGATGCAAATTTCCACTGATCTGACGAAGCGATACTCGGCCGTGACCGAAATCACGAAGGTTAGGCATAATAAACTTCGTGTTGTCGTTTCTAACCTGAAGCAGGCTAACGAGATTGCTGCCTCCCAGCTCTTTACGATTGAGTACAGGGTTTACATACCAGCTCGTGATGTGGAGATCGAAGGTGTGGTCACCGAAGCGAGTCTGACCCCCGAGATCTTGGAGAAGCAGGCGGTTGGCCGTTTCAAGAACCCCTTGCTCCCCCCGGTGAAGATACTGGATGTCCAAAAACTGGGCTCAGTATCTGTCAGCGAGGGTAAAAAGAGTTTTACCCCCACAGACTCGTTTCGCGTGACCTTTTCTGGTTCAGCCCTTCCTCAGTACATCGAGTTGGGAAAACTTCGGCTACCTGTGCGCTTGTTTGTTCCTCGGGTCATGATCTGCCAAAACTGCAAACAGTTGGGACATACGGCCTCTCACTGTGGCAGCAAGGAACGCTGTTCCAAATGCGGGGAGAAGCACGAGGATGGCGCCTGCACAGTCACGGCACCAAAATGCGTGTACTGCAAAGGATCTCCTCCTCATGGTCTCTCGTCGTGTCCGGTGTACAAACAACGCGGGGAAAAACTAGAGCGCTCTCTTAAAGAACGTTCCAGGCGGTCTTTTGCAGAAATGCTTAAGACAGCCAAGCCATCGACCAACGAAACAAATCGCTTCGCTCTTTTGTCAGATGACGAGTCTGGCTCTGACTTGGCTGAGGAGGGAGTTTCTTTCAGTTTTCCGGAAGGTTCTGCCCGGAAACGAAAACGCATCCGTTCGCGGAAAGTTGCAGATCAAGAACCCCAAATCAGCTTGCCCAAATCAAGGAGTGGTGGAAAAAAGGAGACTTCTACTCCTCCTGGATTCCGCAGAACTGATTATACCCAGGATTTTCCACCTCTCCCGGGGACATCCAAAACCCCCGATGCCCCAATTTTCAGAACACAAGCCCCTTCTTCATCTGGGTTGTTCTCATTTGATAACATTGTGGACAGTATCCTCAATTACCTCGATATTTCTGATCCTCTGAAAAGCATTGTTCTGGCAATGCTTCCTACTGTGAAAACCCTCTTGAAGCAGTTGACATTAAAGTGGCCCCTCCTTGCAGCAATCATCTCCTTCGATGGATAATTTTCCAAACGAGGTCGGGGATTTGATCACTGTTCTACAGTGGAATTGTCGAAGTCTTATTCCTAAGATAGAATCGTTGAAGTTTTTGGTTCACAATAATGATTGTGATGCATTTGCTCTGTGTGAAACTTGGCTCTCTTCAGATATCGATCTTCCTTTTCATGATTTTAACATTATTAGACTGGATCGTGAGGATTCGCGTGGAGGAGGAGTACTTTTGGGGATCAAAAAGTGCCATTCCTTCTATAGAGTGAATCTTCCACAATTTCCAGGTATTGAAGTTGTCGCATGTCAGGCTTTTGTTAAAGGCAAGAGCCTTTGTATTGCTTCTGTGTATATTCCTCCCCGAATTTCGATTAGTCAAAAACAACTTTCAGATATCTGTTCAGTTCTTCCTACTCCACGGTTGATTATGGGAGATTTTAATTCCCACGGTACAGGCTGGGGGGAACTGTATGATGACAACCGTTCTACTTTGATATATGACCTCTGTGATAACTTTAATATGACAATTCTTAACAACGGAGAAGTAACACGTCTGGCTGGTCCATCCTCAAATGGAAGTAGATTAGACCTCACACTTTGCTCTAATTCATTATCGTTGGATTGCACGTGGAATGTGATCCAGGATCCCCACGGTAGTGATCACTTGCCGATCGGTATTTCGATTGCCAGTGGGTTCAATTCGTCGGAATCCGTTAACGTCGCGTACGACCTCACCCGTAATATCGATTGGACAACGTTCAAGACCGCGATAGATGAAGCCGTGTCGTCGGTAGAAGAGCTTCCACCGTTGGAGGAATATAACTTCCTCTCCAATCTGATCTTGGACAGCGCGCTTCGAGCTCAAACTCGG